GGCCGCAGCTGGAGTACTGCATCCAGTTCTGGGCGCCGCACTGCAAGAGGGATGTGGACAACATGGAGAGGGTCCAGAGGAGGCCACTCACATGATCAGGGGTCAGCAGGGCAGGGCCTATGAGGAGAGACGACGGGACCTGAACCTGTTCAGCCTCCACAGAGAATGCTGAGAGGTGACTTGGTGGCTGTCTATAAACTTACCAGTGGGGAACAGAGGGGAGTGGGAGAGACTTGTTCCCCCAAGCACCTCCCGGAGTAACAAGGAACAACAGCCACAAGTTGATTGAGAGTAAGTTCAGGCTGGACATCAGGAGATATTACTTTATGGTTAGGGTGGCTAGGATCTGGAACCAACTTCCAAGAGAAGTGGTGCTGGCTTCTACCCTGGGGGTCTTTAAAAGGAGGCTTGATAACTACCTAGCTGGGGTCATGTGAGCTTAAACTTACCAGGGGTCATATAAGCCCAGTATTCACTCCTGCCCAGGGCAGGGGGTCAGACTTGATGATCGGCTCAGGTCCCTTCCGACCCTACTTTTATGAATCTATGAGTCTTCAGGCACGTAAAGACTTTTGAAATGTTAGCCCAGAGGTTATCATTGATACCATACAGCAGTTAGAAGCAATTCCTTCCCTCCACAAAAATTATGCTACCACTGACTCTAATTCATATTTTAGTAGACATCCATGCATGGAAGCACTGAGAGAACATGGCAATAAGCCTACCTTTATAATAATATTATTTTCTACTGAGTAAAATATGATTCTCCAGGTGTGTAAAATAGAAAAGTGATAAATAACAATCAAGTCGCCATCACAGCACCAGAAAGAAACTTTTGGAGTATCTTTTTCACACTCTGAGCATAGACTATGGATATCAAGACAGCCCAGCTGTTCAGCTTCTCATGCTCAGGCAGGCTGCGTGTTCACAGCCCTCACTTTCTGCCTCTGTCACAAAGTTATATACACGTCTCTGCTCTCATGCCTATTCCTGGCATCATTTACATTGCACTTAATTTTTAAATCTGGTGCAGATTACACCGCTATCAGGAATAGACAGATGTCCGGCTATCCCAGGATAGCTGTCACAGTAGGTGGTTATTGAGGTGCCTCACCACTGGGTGGCAGAAGGGCAGGTAGCAGCCTGCTTGCTTTCAGCAAATGATTTACACTGCACCGACATACTGAAACCAAAATAATTTACACTAAGAAGTTTTACCTCTCCCCCAATAATTTTTTCACAAATATTTCTCTGCTGCAAAGGGGGAGTTTTCCCAGTTTAGTGGTTTCCATAAACTGCCTTCTTTTCCATAATGTTCATCCATCCAAGTACTGAAATCTGCATCAAGTAAAATAGATTGCTCGTGAGGTTTGGAATATTGCACCCATAATGCTGGAAGTATTGTAAACAATGTTTCCAAGGAAATTATTTTAAAAAATGAGGTGAACTGATTAAGTTTCACGTCTATTTTTCAGTCCTCCTACTTGTCACTTTCTAAGTGTGACAGAAATGCCTCTGACAGTGAAATTCAACAGTACGGGACAAAGCTTTAAAGACACCATGGTGTTGTTTTGTTTTCTGCAATCTGAAGAGTTGACGTGTTTCAGCTTGACGTGTTTTCAAAGCTTTTCATACATTAGAGCTTTCACATTTAGTAGATTTCCACTGACGTGCTTATAAAAGTTGCAAGTGCTTCTGTCTGTGTAGTAAGCAACTCTGATGTATACATCCCTGCAGGTCTTTCTATAAGTAACGTGACCAATAAAGGCTTGACTTCTTTTGGTTTTTTTTTTGAAAGTTCAAAATCTCAGAACCCCTAATAAAAAAAAAAGACTCATGTCATTTGGCTTCTAATTTGAATACACAAATGCTGTGCTCATGCACACAAATCAAATATGTACACATGAAAATACATAATAAGACAATTGCAAGATCACTGGCACAAATATCCAAATCTAACATCTGCATTCACAGCTATCGCATTTATATATTTGGGAGGCAGTTTAATTGATTTTGCATTCTATAATGGGCTTCTTATATTCTGATAATTCACCTTGCACATCTATCTATTTACATATATGAAATTCCATTTTCCTTGGTAAGCATTATGCAAGTTTTTGTTCATGAGAATGGATACACTTAATTTAATTTGTGCCGTTAAAGATGCCTTCCAAATTGCCACAATTTTTTTTGTACCTATTTTCAAGAAATTAACCAGATAGACATGCAGTTACCTTATTTGCAAGTGCAAATGTCTGTTAATAAATATAAATGAGTGCACATATAACATTTCTGTGGACAACTTGAAAAGCAGTGTTTAAATTGAATATCAAGTTGTTTTCTTCAACCTGCCATGTTTTCTGGAACTAAACTAACAGGGGATCTTAACAATATTTAATAGCTTTTGAACCTCATTCTTTATGCATTTCCAGTCTTACAGCTTTGATCCTACTGTCACCCAATTTTTATGTAAAATATTTCAAACAAACAGGAAAAGTTTAAATTTAAAGATTTGTTTAAAAATAGGAAAACTATACGTAATAAAGAAAAAAAAATACAACTGATTTCTGGATGGTCCAAAGTGCTATTCATAGACTTTGAAGGACACGGTGAGGAATGTGTTTCATTCCATTTCAATTTTCTATTTTGCTTTTAAACATACACAGGATGTTACAACCCCTGGGAAATTTCAAAGTCTGAGGCAAGTCACATAAAAGTAGTAAGAGTGTTTCTGAGCTGCTGAGCATGTGTCTAGTTTATTTCCAAGCACAATCCAAAGTTTGTGTATTAAGTTTCATTTAGCATGCACGCTGAAGGCTTAGTAAATGCAGATATTCTGAACAGGTGTCATCGGGGGGGCGGTGTGTGGAACGGACTCTGCCACTAATGACACTATAAACATGTAAGGCTAAATTATCAAAATGTTGCATCAACATTATACGCCCAAAAATGTGTTGTGGATGATTAACCACGTACCAGATCTATAGCTAAGCAAGCAATGAATTTGCAGTCCTGTTTGTGCAATGCTGAAGTTTTATTTGCATTCTGCATGGGTGAGGGCATGTTGTGAATATTTTGTAGAAGATATTTAATTTGTTCATTTTCCTAAATTTTGTTTGGGCTTTCCTTCCCAGAACAAAATACTCAGACTTTCAATAATGTAGATTTAAACTAAATTGGGCTCATCGACACATGTGTTTTAATGCGCGCAGTCTCAGTCTCTGGACTGTGGCCTGGAGCTCCTCCCAGAGCCCCCCAAGGGATGACAAGTTCAAACGGTTATAAACTCCTGCAAGATCTCCTGCTGGACATAAGGAAGAATTTCTTTACTGTCTGAGCCCCGAAGGTCTGGAACAGCCTGCCATCAGAGGTGGTTCAAGCACCTATTCTGAATGTCTTCAAGAAAAAATTGGATGTTTATCTTGCTGGGATCTTGTGACCCCAGCTGATTTCCTTCCCCTGGGGCAGGGGGCTGGACTCGATGATCTTCTGAGGTCCCTTCCAGCCCTAATGTCTATGAAATCTGTGAAATGCACATTAGCACATTTTAATGGGCATTAAAGTATCACTGAAAAACCGTGCTCTTTAGTTACTGTGCATTAAGACAGGCTAACGCGCATTTTCCTAGTACCTGACAATGGAGGGCATTTTTACATGTGGTGTGGGACCCAGTGCCAGGTGCTTTAATTAGCAAACTGTGCTAATTAAAAGCGCCCATGTCATGTGTATCAGCATCCCCGTGCTGAAAAAATGGCAGTGGGGCGCTTTGAACTAAAGCTTATGGAACGTGTTTTATTTCAAAGTGCCCCACTGCCATTCTTTCAGCATGGAAACGCACGGTGACGCTGATACATGTGATGTGGAAGGCTGCTTGAGTGTGTCAAGTTTTGCGCCCCAGCAGACTTGATTAATCGAGTCTGCTCCAATGCACTGAATTTCCAATGCATTAGAGCAGGCTCCGTGCACATGTATAGGAGTCCAGACATACTAGATTTAATGTGCATTAACTAAAGCACATTAATGCATGTGGAGACACACCCAGTACTGAGATGGGAGTGAAGAATTTTTGCTGGAGGTGAGATGGAAGGGCATCGTGTAAAATGGTGTATTCGGTCAGAACTGTGCATATGGTCAGGCCAGTCTGTTGGTTTCTGTTTGAGACGGGATTCTCTTTGGCTCAGAAAATGACAAATCCTTTCTTCAAATATTTAAAGTTCAGTTTTTAATATCTAGTATTAAGTCTAGTGGTCTGCCTTTGTCAGGTCTAAATGAGCAAAGATAAAATGAAAAGGGGGTTATTATTTTTCCAGGACAGTTACAACAGAGCCACTGTACTTGAAATGGATAATGGTTTATTAACTAGAGCAAGTCCTTCCGCTCTCTGTCAGGACTTTATGCACCATGTGACGATGTCCATCCTGGAATTCTTTTAATTTGGTAGCAAGCCATTGCAAGACTGTGTCGGGCTTAGCCTTGGCATGGTTTGCCTCTCACCTGTCACAACAATCTGTGATGGGAGGGTTTGGATTCTAGCCACTTGGTCTGTGTGCTGTTTGCTTTGCCTTGATGTGCCATTCTGAGACACTTACTCTTCTGTGTTTTTACGCTGCCTGTGAAGTATAGTATCGAACAACAGAACCTGGGTCCCTGTTGTCACAAGCAAGGGACAGATCGTTGTAGATCCCATGCACTGTTCTGGTCATCCTTGTTCAAGAAAGACTAATTCACACTGCGACAGGAACAGAGAGGGCTACTAAGATGATCAGGGAAATAGAGTCTGTCTTAGGGAGAACGCTGAGATCTTAGCTTGTGGCCCCGAGCAAAAGAACAGTTGAGAAGGGGTGGGCTTGCTCTCTAAATACATGGAGATATAGAGGGACACCAGAGAAGGAGAAAAGCTATTTAAACCAAAGGACTATGCTGGGTCAAGAACAAATGGATATAAACTGGCTGTGAATAAAGTTTAGGCTGGAAATTAAAAGTAGGCTTTTGATAATTAGAGGACTATGGTCCTGGAACAGCCCTGATGTCCTGGGAGGCCCACTATGGTCCTGAGGTACTTGTACATATGATGAAAATTGGCCTTTGTTGCTGTTTAATTGTGTCACACTGAACACCTGTGGGGGTGCTGCCCCAGCTCAGGCTTGGAGAACAGTTGGATTGGGCTGGGTGCTGCCTGTGAGCTAGGGCAGCACCTGCCCACTAGCCACCTGCGTGGGTGGCCCCAAGGGGCACCATCATCGTGGAGAGAAGGTCTGGGGCCTCCTGCAGCTCAGGAGCCACAGGCAGCTCACCCCCCAGCTGAGGGAGATGCTGACAGGCTCCACAAAACAAAAAAAAAGGGATTGGGCCCCTCACCTTAACAGTGATGGAGCCCCTAAATTGAATCGGGGGGGGGGGTTTAATCATCACAGTTAAAAACCCACTGTTTCAATTTAGGGGACTAAACCCCCATCATGTGTACAAGCACCCCTACATGCCAAAGACCTGTCTTGATCCTGACCAATTATTTTCATGATGAACAGTCTTGGATGACAAAGCTGGGATATTAAATTAAGGCAAAACAATTAAAGCGTTCTAGATGCTTACTCCAGCCTTGCTATAATTTTCTATGATTTTCTTCTACTGCCTCATCCTTACCACAGAAAGCCTTGGTGTTACACCTGCCTTGGTTGTGTACCTTCTTTCAATCACAAGAAGTTTGTGTTGATGTCTTTGAGAGATGGGAGATCCCTGTTCAACAAGATCTGCTTCTAGCTATCGCTGCCATTTCAAATCTTGAATATTACATATTTCCTGTTACTTGCATTGTCGTATTGCTTATGGGCCCTAATCATAAATTAGGGCCTTGCGACACTGTGCTCCCTGAAAATACAGAACCAGACACGTTCTGTAGGCATCACGTTAGGGGTCGGAAAGAGACTGTGGTAGCTCTGCAACATGTTTTCAGGGAGCTCCTCCCATGTGAGAGGCACAAAGGTGATTGTTTAAAAATATAACAAGTATACAATGGAGGCTAGCATCCCGGCACAACTGAAGGTGGGAACTGACCTCTACAAATAATAAGGTAGGGTGGGGATAAGTCATTAAAGGACCGCAAAGACAAGACAGAGGTGGGGGAACCAACAGAGGAATGGGAAAGAGAAGGGTGACAAGGTCGAAGCAACAGGCACTTGAGATTGCCAACTGAGTCTGGTCCTTTAACACACATGTAATGTTACAGCTTAACCACACATCTGACTTCCAGCAGCCCTAAACCCACCACAAATTGCAGTGTCGAACTGATTCTTTACCTGCACTGCGAAAGTAAAGCTGTGATTTCTGAACAGCAGGGACCCAACTTTGTTCTTGATTAAACCAATGGCAAAACTCCAAGTGACTTCAGCAGGAACAAGACTGGGGCCTTGCCCATGTTCATTCACTTGTTTGACATCAGCCCACTCTTCCTACCCCGGATAATAGACTACCTCCCCACTACAGCTTTAGCACAGATGCACTGGGATGCCGCCTTGTTGAGTTCCACTTGGATTTCTTGTTCAACCTACCACCGTTTCACCTTTTTAAAAATCCTAACACTTTAATCTTCAGTTCCTGTTTTAGCAGAAGTTTCTGGACTACAATCTGCATATCTTTTCTGCAGAGTCTCTTCATTTCAATTAAAAAATACCTTCTTGTTCAAGCACTAGGCGGGATTTCAGCACATCTATGAAATCAGCTTTTCTCACCAGTCCTTTTCTTCCCAACTGCCTGAAGAAGGGATCTCTTTAGTTGCATAATTAGGCATACAACCGATAGAAGATGTGTCATGTGGCCTCCAACCCCAACAAATCCTGAATGATTATAAAACACAGAACATTTGGGATGTGGGCATGAATCAGCAACTTACTATACAAGCTATTTCCATGACAAATATTCAGGAAGCATTCTTCCTGGAAGAAGTGAAGATGTCTAGTTTCTACCCTAAATTCTATTCCCAGAATATTTAATATTCTGGGGGTGTACGTTGTAGCTGTGTTGGTCTAAGGACATAGGCAGACAAGGCTTTTTGAGCAAAGGTGATATCTTTTCTGCTTGAAAGCTTGTAAAGAATGTTTTTTCCAACTATTCAGTTGGTCTAAAAAAAGACATCACACATTTACCCCAAAAAACCTTGTTTGTTAAATATTTAAGGCATTTTAGCACAGCTTCAGGAACTTGCTCCAAACACATGTATCACTGCACCCTTGCCATTGAGCCAGCTGTAAATGAGCACCTGGTCATTCAGCCTAGGCAGTCAAAGACAGGTACTGTCCCTTCATGGCATCGGATGTAGTCAGCTTTCTGCTTATGAAAGCGAATTCTATACATCTTGGATTTAGTTAGTCTGTAAGGTGCAAGTCTGTTCTGCCTTAGGCAGTCAAAGACAGGCAGGCAAGATGCTAGCCACAACGTGACCTTGTGGGCAGCTGGCACATAAAAATAATCTTAATTATGCAACCCCGAACAGGCCATTTAGGTTAGGCCTAGGGCGGATCTCAGACTTTTGCCTCTCTCTACCCGAATCCTGCAGGACATTGGCCAAATCACTTATCTTTTGTGCCTACATCTATCCATCTACAAAATGGGTGCAAGTATTACTTTCCTACTTCCCAATCTTATAGAAAAAGTTTACAAAGTCACTGCAACAGATGGAGCACCAAGAAACTGCACCTAGCTTCCCACCTTTCTCCTCCCCTTGCCACCCTCAGAAAAAGGGAAGGAAGAAAAGGGTAGGGGGAGAATTAAAAACAATTCTGGTCTGGAATGTAATTTAAATGCAGGGACAATCAATTTTATGAAGAAACTTGATTTTTAAAATATCCATTTTTAATTAAAAAATCTGAATGAAAACTGACCTTGCCCTCTTTTTCTTTCATGCCCTCAAACACAGGGACTTGAGGACCATACGAGATGGCAACAGGCATTTCCAAATCTGCACAAAGTGTGAATGCGCCATGAATAGTATCCACATAATGCCTGAAAGATCATGTCAGCTGATCCTGGCTGCTCGTTTGTTTGAAGGCAATTCCAACTATCTGCGATCAAGATAATAATATTCAGGATAAACAGCTTGGCACAAGACTTCACTCTAAGGCAGAATCCCAGTGTATGCATAAACAATAGCCAGGCGTATGGTAACTTCAGATGAGCTTAATTTCTCACCACCACTCTGCTTATGCACAGGCATGAAGTGTTTGGGGCAGAGTGTTTCCAGGCAGAATCCTGAAGCCATCTAAGGAAACTGCATTTTTAGGGCCTCTGCTCTATAAGCCACACTCCCACCCTCACTGACAGCAACGAGAATTTTGCCATGGACTTTAACAGGAACAGAGACAGGCATGTTTAGAACAGGTTTTCACAAAATACCTTTGTAAAAAGCAACTTCATGTTGACCATCCATGTGTCATGAGAGGTATCTATTCAGCTGACTCTCCATTTAGAGTATCCCTTTCACAGAGCACACCACCAAAGGCTTTGCTCAAGTACCAAGGCAGAAGGGGTACGTCAAACCACATCTCCCCATCAGAAAAGAACGAATGACAGGCATGATGCATCTTCCTTATTCTCTAGAAACAAAGAGTTTCTCTAGAAACAAAAAGCAAAAGTTTGTAACTCATTCTCACTCTTCTTAAGAGAAACTGAAATGTGATCTCCTTTGAAGAGGAGGAAGAAAGGAATGAACAAAATGAGGGAGAACGGCTTTTTTAATGTCATGCTACCATTAAGCAATACAAATGTTTGCTTATGTGGCAAAGCAAAGTCGTTCCTGTTATTGCTAAGGTGACGCTTGGTTTGCTGATGCAGGTGCAGACTCCACGACCATTGAAATCGATTCTGCTGCCAAACCCTAGAGCTGCCTGACACTAACCGACTATGTGACCTGTTGCAAGTCACTTCAACAAGGGGTAAGAACAGGTATTTCACTTAAGAGTTGCAGATGAATGCTGTGTTAATTATGAGAGAGACAGTCTTAGCTATGTTTTTAGTTAGGACAATTTGACTTTTAGGTTATATACAGCTGGGCAAACACAGGGGCTTTTTTGTTTGTGACTGAAATGAAAAATTAAGCGCAGGGGAAGTAAGAGATGCTTTGGCTTGAGGCAAACTGGAAGTTTCTTGGAATTTTGATTGAAATCTAAAGAGATGCATTTCATTTGATTTTAAGGATATTTAGCTTCTTTTAAAACCCTTTAAAGTTGATTTTAAAATACTGTAATGAAATATATTGATGTTGTTTTTAGAAACTGACACTTTTTTTTAAAGATGAAATTACTAAATTGGACCTGGCTTCACAAAGTTGCAGTCACTTACAAATCACATTTTTGGGGGGGAGGAGGGAAGGGGGGAGGCAAATTTACTGTTTAAGAAAAAAACCGGCCAGCTTTAATCACATGGTTTTGTTCCAGTCTGAACACCTAAAAGTCCTGTAAACTTTACAAAAGTAAAGTGTTGGCATCCATTTCACACCAGGTAGAAACAGAGCTGTATAGTACACAAGTCCAGAGCTGGTAACTGGAAAAAAATATTGTGCTACTTCTGTTCCCATCTTTATCACTTGCACTGCACACAACAGATTACTGGACATGACAGATTTTTTAGTACTGGCAGAAGTTACTTTAGCAGCTGCACTCATAATTACAGTAGTAACTATGTCCTATGAATCGCATTCCTCCTGCAGTCCCCTGCCCAAGAACTGTCCTCACTTTCATCTTCACTACTTAAACTGTCAGACTTGAAAGCTCTCATAGCCACTAAAGCAAATTTAGCACAGTCACTTTCTCTTTCTGTGGCTGATGGCTCTTGTTTTCAGGAAACTAAAGATCCTAACCTGCTTTCCTGAAAATTGCTAAATCAAAAACTAATCATCAAGTGTGAAAAATAACATACAATTCTTTTTTTTTTTTTGGCGGGGGGGGGGGGAGGGG